TGATGGGCAGACCAAGAGAATGAATCGAACGCTGGAAGATGGCTTGCGTGCATGTGTCAACGCTCGCCAGAACGATTGGGACACCCACCTTCCAGAAATTGAGTTCTCCTACAACAGCACAGTTAACCTTGCTACTGGACAGACCCCGTTCTACCTAGCTACTGGACAGAACCCTCGCACTCCTACCTCACTGGTTCACAGCCCCAAACGTGATACTGCAGCAACGGCATTTATGAAAGACAGAGAGAAAGCGATAGCAGCAACACGTACCTCACTGTCCAAGGCACAGCAGCGCATGATTCACTATGCAGACCAGCACCGACGTGACATCTGCTTTCACATAGGAGACAGAGTACTTCTCTCAACCACAAATCTGCCCCTACTCACTCAAGGCCTCACCCGCAAGCTCGCACCCTGCTTCATTGGTCCCTTTACGGTCACACAGGTCCTCTCTCCACACACTTACCATCTGAAACTTCCTCCTCACATCAACATCCATCCAGTCTTCCATGTCCATCTGCTACGTCCATATCATGATCCTCTAGCTCGCGTCCTCTCCACTTCTCAGCCATCTCGCCCTCCCATGTTCACTCCAAGCCCTGATTTATTCGAAGTTGAGAAGATTCTTGCTCATGAAACAACACCTAGTGGCAGGTAATTTCTGGTTAAGTGGCATGAGCATGATTCCAGGGAAGGACCTACAGCATGCACAACGAGATATCTCTGCCTACCTTGCATCTGCTGGTGCACCGAGGACGGTGCCCCTTGGAGGGGGTAGAGTAATGTAACAGGGCGAAAGCGAACTCGCCACAAGAAAGTTTGCAAGCTGGCGAACTTGTAACCTTCGCCAAAAACCCAACATGAAATGTGAAATTCAAGGTTGGAAATCTCAACCTGAAATGTGCGCTTCGGGATTTCTCAAAGCACACGTGAACCTCCAACCAGCAAAGCAGCAGAGAAGAGAATTCCATAGCAGTAAATTTGTTCCAGCACCACAAGACTCAAGTACCATCATCATGAAGGCGAAGACCAAGTCAGCTAGTGCTGTCTAGAATCATCTCTTGATTGTATTTTGTATCTTTCTATATAGACAGCTAGGATCAAGCATAGTCTTGTCATCATTGCTTGTACATATTCCGTTCCTTGCTGGTGACAGCGGAGATAAAAACAATGGCGTCCTCAACGAGCTTCTCAAGGCGCCATAATCATATAAGTGTGTATAAGAGTAGTCGTTCATCCCTTGTATGTCAATCTTGCTTTCTGAAATTTAAAGAATTCATGCTACCAGTTTTACCTTCTTGATTTGGACTCTCCAAGCTTAGTATTCAAAACTGCTAACAGTCTTATAGTTGTTTCACCTACCTGAACACATCGCTTCCCTATAAGCACAGGTCATTTATTTCCCTTGCCCAAAGACCCTGCCCCTTATTCTGTCCCAGCCTTCGCGTCATGGCTCGTCCTCGTGAAAGTATCGCCATCCCGTGAATCAGGGTGCAAAAGTGAGGACGTGTTACATTTTTTGCTTTGCCCGTCTGAACGGGCCTTTGCCCGGGCATTTTAGTGGTTACCGTTTTTGTTTTGATTTGTTTGACGGATCGTTAGTACCCTGGCGACGTCGTTAACGATCGGACCGCGGATGGAACTTTTTGCATAATTTGCCCTCCCACATCGTCCGGGCCATTACCGTTCGATAAACGGACAGACGCAACAGTGACTCGATTTAACTGGCGGTCGAATATGATTTTGCGAGTCGGTTGACTGTTACCTAGGTCGCAATAGCATCGTAAAACAGGTTACAATGTCGCAAGTACTTCCGTTATCGTAGGTATGAGAAAGTGTCATAAACAGAACGCGGACGAAGCTCCGTCTGGACGTTGGACTCGGACCGTCCAAAATTCGGTATCCGAATGTTTTCCGGACGATTGTCTAGACGTTTCCTTCATTTAAAAAATGTAACACGCCCTTGATGGTTCATGACCACCTGAGTTTCCTGTTTAGGAAAGCAGAAACTATTTGCTGGCCTACCTGAGCGCAAGAGAGGGACTCGCGAAAGAAATCGCGGGGGAAAAACGTGGGTTCATATGTCGTGCCCATGCGAATTTTCGCGGAAGAATTATGTATATCGGCATAGCTCGCCCAATATCGTCAACCCAACAAACCAATAACTCCCCAGAACCATTTCCTTTACGCACGTCTGCTGCTGACAATTGGGACATTGGATCAATCGGGCATCAATAGATATTGCTTTTGTACTAAAGGATATAACACTATCGTACGCAATACGTCACGGGAGCAAAAATCTATAAAGCATGCTTGATCATATAAGCTCATAGATGATATAGCTGTGTAAGAAAAACTTCTTTCAGTTACTCTGCGTCCCTACTTACCGCGTACATGACTATTCCCGCCACAGTACCCCAACAGTAATCTGTTACCACCTCGCGGTCCGCGCCACTGTTCATGTAAGGAATTGTAATTCCTTACTGTACCCGCACTTTAGCGAGTACATCTTGAGGGTCACGCGACGAACCTGTTCGACCTATTTCGTTGCACCGAACCACTCCCGAGTCGTCTCCGCACCAATCGCATGCATCACCGAGCCATCTTCGCCCGACCTCCCCGCCTGGCTAGCATTTTGTCAGAATATTATGCTCTAGCCTGCAGTGGGGTGCTCTATAGCGAGTACAACCCTTCTAGGGTTAGCTATTTGTACCACCATTGCTGCTAGTGCAACCGCTCCTTTCTTCATTCTTACTTTCTACAGCTAGTTCTGACATGCTATCAGAGCAGGTCGACCCTCTTGGGTCGATCCTGTGGGTGGGCCCGCCACCTAATGCTTCCGCTGCTGTCCTGCTTATCGCGCGCCTCGGGCGCGCGACGTTTTCTGCCTACTGCGCGCTCGCAAGGCGCGGCGTTTTTAGGGTTTCGGCGGTTTTCATCCCGCCGTGCGCTCGGGGCGCGCGGCGGTTTTCTGCCCGCCGTGCGCCCCGAGGCGCGCGGCGGTTTCCCACCGTCGAAGTGCCCCCCGTCGCCCGTCGGAGCGCCCCCCGTCGCCCGCCAAAACGCCCCCGTCGCCCGTCGAAGCGCCCCTGGGACCCGCGCGCGGCCCGTACGGGCTGCGCCAGGCCCGCGCGCGGCCCGTACGGGCTGCGCCAGGCCCGCGCGCGGCCCGTACAGCCCGCGCGCGGCCCGTACGGGCTGCGCCAGGCCCGCGCGCGGCCCGTACGGGCTGCGCCAGGCCAGCGCGCGGCGCGGGCAGCCTGCGCGCGCCTCGTCCGTCCCCCTCTCGCCGTCCCCCGCGCTCCTGCCCCTATCCCACCCGTTTTAGGGTTTGGGGATGTGGAGTGTGGGGGTGGCGGGTGTGGGGGTGCCGGTTGTGTGCCCCGTCCCCTCCTTCTCCTCCTCCTCCGTCTCCCGCTGCTGCAGCTGCCGCTCAGGGGGGTGGTTGTGTGGGGAGCCGAAGGAGTGGTCCTAGGGGGGTGAAGGGGGAGTGGAGCTAGGGGCGCAGCAGGGGGTGTGTGTCGAGGGGTGTGGGACTGTTGGGGGAGGTTGAGCGGAGGTTGCCGTCGTGTCGTACGCAGCGCCTGTACTCCGGGGCACTCATTCCCGGTAGCTCAGAGAGCCGGTTGCGCCGTCGCCTGTGGGTCCGTTGCTCCTGCCGCGCATATTAGCCGCGGAGCCTGTTACTCCTGTACTCCGGGGCACTCATTCCCGGTAGCCACGTTGTCGCACCAGAGCCGTCTGTTGCCCGTGTGTCTGCATCTTCAGTCGTCGCCTCCTATCTACTCTCCTCTCACCAGCCCTCCTCCTCCTCACTTGACCCCTTGTGACTGCCTCTAGCTTTGCTCATAATTGTGAACCTTAAACTATTGCTTCTTGCTTGTGCTCAGAATGTGTGGTGACATCGTGATCCACCCTGAGCTTGTACTACTTTGCTTGCTCTGCTGATTACACCCCACTTTGACTATGGGGGTGTGTCAGAATATTATGCTCTAGCCTGCAGTGGGGTGCTCTATAGCGAGTACAACCCTTCTAGGGTTAGCTATTTGTACCACCATTGTTGCTAGTGCAACCCCTCCTTTCTTCATTCTTACTTTCTACAGCTAGTTCTGACACATTTCCCCTATTTAGTCGTGCCATCCTTATTGTATCATCGTTCTGTAATCGACCGTTCTCGATATTCGTTATTCTGCGCACTCTGCAAGTTCATTCATAACACCTGGTATCAGAGCTACTTTCTGTCAAACATTATATATGTTTATATTGTGTAGGCTATAGTGGGTTTAGCCTTAGGGGGTTCAACATTGCTAGGGTTTCGTACTTGTATCCCCCTCTTGCCTAGTTTCATCATTCTTGTTCCCTCTTAGATTCTAACATGGTATTACAAGCCTAGGTCGTAACCTAGGACCGATGATAAGGGCCCACCGTAGCGCGCCCTAGCGCGCCTCTTGCGAACCGATCCCGCCCAGCCCGCACGCCCTAGTGTGCCCCGCGCGATCGGCCCCGCCCTCCTCGTACGCCCTCGCGTGCGACCCGCGCAGCCGCACGCACGCCGCCTCCTTCGCGCGCCCTTGCGTGCCCCGTGCGACCGGCCCTGCCCCGCTAGCTCGCCCTTGCGTGCCCCGCGCGCCCTTGCGTGCCCCTCGAGAACAGGCCCCGCCCCGCTAGCTCGCCATTGCGTGCCCCGCGCAACCAGGCCCCGCCTCGCTCTGCACGCCCTCGCGTGCCCCTCGAGTCCCGGCCCCGCCCCACTAGCCCGCCCTTGCGCGCCCCGTGAGACCAGGCCCCGCCCCACCTTGCACGTCCTCGCGTGCCTCCCTCTGCGCAGCCCTGCCCTTGCAGCCCCGCTAGCGCCCTGATCCAGCCGAGCCGCGCCGCCCCTGTTGAGTCGCGCCGCCCTGCTAGAACCGCGCCGCCCTCCGAGCCGCGCTACTGCTGCTGCTGTCACTGCTACCGACGCTACTTCTGTTACCGTTGCCACTGCTGCTCCTACTGCGACCATGGCTAGCCCTACCGTACTCGCTTTCGATGCTGAGGGCCGCCCGGTGAAGTTTGACACCTGGCTCGATGACCTGCACCTGTATCTCCAGCTCACTGCCAAGGAGGATATCTCACTGTACGATCACGCGCTAGGCCACGCTGCTGCCCCTGCTGCTGATGCTGACAGCACTGCCCGCTCACAGTGGCAGACTCGTGACGCCCACGCCCGCTTCGCTATTCGCGCCTCCCTGCCGCTAGATGAGCGCGAGCACTTTGGCCAGCACAAGACTGCACAGGCATTGTACACTGCTGTAGTTGCGCGCTACTCCTCACCTGCCTCTGCTGCGCTAGGTCGTCTCTCGCTTCCCTACCTGTTCCCAGACATGTCCGCCTTCTCTACAGTCGCTGACCTCATCACGCACCTCCGCTCTAGTGAGGCCCGCTTTCGTGCCGCTATGCCTGCTGAGTTTCTTGCCAAGAACCCCCCCTCGCTGTGGCTGACTCTCTACCACATCGTTACCCGTCTCCTTGACTCTCTTCGTGCAGTTAGGGACCACTTCCTCGCTCGCTGCCCCACTGAGCTCACCATTGATCTGCTCGAGAAGGAACTGCTTGCAGCTGAGATTAGCATAGTCGCTGTAGGTACCTCTCGTGGCGACCCCCGCACCCCGTTCTTCGAGGGGTGTTCCCCTTCCCCCCTTCTCCCCTCTGTCGCCTCTGCTGCCACTGTTGACCTCCTTGGGACTGAGCAGGTCGGGACAGCGTCCACTCCGAGTGGGCGCCGCAGCGGCAAGGGCAAAGGGGGCAAGGGAGGTGGTGGTGACAGCGGGGGAGGCGGTGGTGGGGGCGGTGGCGGTGGTGGGGGTGGTGGAGGGGCTGGAGGGGCTAGTGGCAGCAGTGGGGGTGGTGGTGGCGGCGGGGGTGGCGGCGGCAACAGCGGAGCAGGTGGCCGGGGTGGGGGCGGTGGTGGTGGCAGCAGTGGACGCGGTGGCGGCAGGGGTGGTGGTGGTCGAGGTGGTGGTGGTGGTCCGCGCCAGCAGCAGCCTCTCTCGCCCCAGGAGCTTAGTGAGTGGTACCTTCAGCATGGTGGGGGGGCGGGTGGCCTTAGCTGCACGTACGTCATCCGCACTGGTGACCGCGCTGGTCAGACGTGTGGGAGGGCGCACACCATACAGCGCTGCTTCTCCCGCCTTGACAATGCTTGGCGCGCTCAGTTTCCAGCTGCCACTGAGCTGCCCCGCTGGGCTGATATGCTGAGGAAGAACATTGATGTCTGTGCTCTTGACTTTGATGTTATTCTTTGTGCCATGTATGTGATGTCTACTAGTGGAGAGAGTGTCCAGTACCTGCATGTTCCGCCCGATCCGGGCATTAGGACCAGTGAGGCTGCCGCCCTAGGTGCTCGTGCGTCTGTTGCCCCAGGTGTTGTTGAGGCTGCCGCTCCAGGTGCTAGCGTCTCTGCTGCCCCATGAGCTGGTGAGGCTGCTGCCCTAGGTGCTCGTGAGTTTACGCCCCCTGGTACTGAGTCTACTGCGGCACTGCACACCTTCACCCTGGACTCAGGCGCTTCTCGCTGTTTCTTTCGTGACCGCACTGACCTTGAGCAGCTTGCTCGGCCAGTTGCAGTCTCCCTCGCTGACCCCTCTGGGGGTCCGGTCCTTGCGACCTCCTCCACTGTCCTTCCCTGTCCTGCGGTCCCGTCGGGCACACTGTCAGGTCTCTACCTCCCCTCGTTCTCTACGAACTTGGTGGCAGGTAGTGCGCTCCAGGACGGGGGTGTTCACCAGTTCACCCCTGCCTACGAGCGTGTGACACACTGCACGTGTGCTAGGACGGGTCACCATTTGGCTACCTTCACTCGACAGCCGGGGTCGGACCTGTACACACTGACCACTAAGTCCCCTCAGGTAGCTGCGTCTGCGTCTGCGTCTGCGTCTGGTCAGCTGTCGGCTCCCTGCTCGTGTCGCTCCCTGTCGCACCGGACTGTCCTCTGGCACCACCGCCTTGGTCACCCGTCCGTGCAGCGCCTTTGGGGCATGCACTCCCGGTACCTTGTCTCTGGTCTTCCCAGGGTGCTCCCTCCCCTTCCAGCCTCGCCTGCTCCTCCCTGTCTTCCCTGTGTCGAGGGGCGGCAGCGCGCCGCTCCTCACTCCTCCTCCTTTCCCCCGACGACTGCTCCCTTGCAGATGCTCCACATGGACGTGTGTACCCAGCCCGCGTTCGTGGACAGGGTCACGAGAGGTACTTCTTGATAGTTGTTGATGACTACTCGCGTTACACCACGGTCTTCCCCTTGCGCACCAAGGGTGAAGTCCCTGATGTTTTGATCCCTTGGATCCGCGCTACTCGTCTCCAGCTTAGCGAGAGGTTTCACTCCGACCTTCCTGTCCTCCGTCTGCACTCTGACAGAGGTGGGGAGTTTTCCTCCGGCCTCTTGGAGGCCTTCTGTCAGCAGGAGGGCATTGAGCAGTCGTTCACGCTTCCGGCCTCTCCACAGCAGAATGGGGTTGCTGAGCACCGCATTGGCTTGGTCATGGAGATCGCTCGTACCTCCTTGGTCCATGCGGCTGCCCCCCACTTTCTGTGGCCGTTTGCGGTCCGATACGCTGCGCATCAGCTCAACCTCTGGCCCCGTGTCTCCGCTCCGGAGACCTCCCCGACGCTGCGTTGGACGGGCAAGGTTGGTGATGTGTCACGTTTTCGGGTCTGGGGATCTCGAGCCTTTGTTCGCGATACGTCCGCGGACAAGCTCTCCTCCCGCACTGTTCCTTGTGTCTTCCTTGGCCCTTTCCCGGACGCGTCTGGTTGGCAGTTTTACCACCCCACCTCGCGCCGTCTCCTGCCTTCTCAGGACGTCACTTTCGACGAGTCCGTCCCCTACTACCGCCTCTTCCCCTACCGCACTGCCCCGCTTCCCCCCCCGCCGCTCTTCCTCACTCCAGGTGCTGCTGTACTAGACCCCCTCCCCCCTCAGGGTGCCGCTCCCTCAGGTGTGTCCCAGGTAGACCCGGTTGAGCCTGTCGAGGTAGCTGTCGACTCTCGTCCTGCTTGGGGTACTGAGCCTGCGGGTGCTGAGCGTGAGGGTGCTGAGCCTGAGTGTGCGGAGCCTGGGGGTGCTGAGCCTGAGTGTGCGGAGCCTGGGGGTGCGAAGCGTGAGGGTGCGGAGCCTGGGGGTGCGGAGTCTGCGTGTGCTGAGCCTGGGGGTGCTACACCTGACCGTGCGGCGCCTGGAGACCCTCCCTCTTCAGAGCAGCTGCTTGAGTGGTATCCGTGGTACTGCGGCCTTCGGACACCTAGGCGGGAGCTCCCCTCTCTCCAGCAGCTCCGAGAGTGGTACGCTCGGTGCTGCAGTCTCCGGAGTAGAGCTGCTGGTGCTTGGGACTCTGGCGTTGGAGCTGCTGCTGGTGCTGCGGACCCTGGAGTTGGAGCTGCTGCTGGTACTGGAGACCCTGGAGTTGGAGCTGCTGCTGGTGCTGCGGACCCTGGAGTTGGAGCTGCTGCTGGTACTGCGGACCCTGGAGTTGGAGCTGCTGCTGGTCCTGCCGACCCTGGAGTTGGAGTTACTGCTGGTCCTGCCGACCCTGGAGTTGGAGCTGCTGCTGGTGCTGCGGACCCTGGAGTTGGAGCTGCTGCTGGTGCTGCGGACCCTGGAGTTGGAGCTGCTGCTGGTGCTACGGACCCTGGAGTTGGAGCTGCTGCTGGTGCTGGGGACCCTGGAGTTCGGGCTGCTTCTGGTGCTGAGGACCCTGGAGCTGGCGCTGCTGGAGCTGCTGCGGGTGCTGGTGGTGTCTCTACTGGTTCTGGAGTCGCTGCGCGGCCCCGGCCGTACTTCGTTCCGCTCCTTCAGCAGGTTCTTGGTCAGCCTCCTCCTCCTTGTCCTGCTCCCTCCTTAGAGTGTCCTCCGCCTGTCCAGTCGCAGTCACAGTTCCCGCCTGCCTCGCCACTCCCTGGTCCTTCTCCTTACACTGGTCCTACTGGAGGTCTTACGGAGCGTCGTGAGCCTGAGTCTCGTCCTGTGTCGCCTGCGTCTCGCTCTGCGTCACCTGTTCGTGCTGCTCGCACTGGTCGTCGTGTCTCGCGTCGGCGTCCTCCTGTTGTCCCAGGCACTCACCAAATGGCGCTCCGTCCCTCCACTGCCCCTCAGCGTGTCCCTCTGCCGTCTCCTCCTGCGTCCTCTCTTCCTACTCTTGCTGACCCGGAGTCTGACTCCCTTCGTGCTGCCCGTCCTACTGTCACGCGTCTCCTCGCTACTGTTGTCACTGACCCTACCTTTGAGTCCTCTGCTGCGTCTGCTCTCGTCGCTGAGTTAGTTGACTTTGCTGCCGCTTGTCGTCTTGACTACTCCGCTAGCCTGGTTGCTGAGTCTGAGTCTGTCTGTCCTCCGTCCGTCGAGGGTGAGTGTGCTCTTGGCACGGACGTCCTTGAGGACAGGCAGGAGGAGTTCCAGTGCTTTGCTGCTGCTTTGCCTCATCTCGTGTCCATGCTAGTTGCCCCTGAAGGAGACCCGGATGCACCAGACATCCCGACCCCGCGCTCTTACGCAGAGGCAATAGAGGGTCCCTACTCCTCTCAGTGGCAAACAGCCATGGACGCAGAGATGGCTTCCTGGAAGTCCACAGGCACCTACGTCGACGAGGTTCCCCCACCAGGGGCGAACATCGTCAGTGGTATGTGGATTTTCAGGGTGAAGCGGCCGCCGGGTTCTCCGCCTGTCTTCAAGGCGCGTTACGTTGCTCGAGGCTTCAGTCAGCGAGAGGGAGTAGACTTCTTCCAGACCTTCTCCCCCACCCCGAAGATGACCACTCTTCGGGTGCTGCTGCACATAGCCGTTCAGCGCGACTACGAGCTTCACTCTCTTGACTTCAGCACAGCTTTCTTGCAGGGCAGCCTGCACGAGGAGATCTGGCTGCGCCGCCCTCCTGGCTTCACTGGGTCGTTTCCTCCTGGTACCCAGTGGAGCCTCCGGCGGCCGGTCTACGGTCTCCGCCAGGCGCCACGTAAGTGGCACGACACACTGAGGACGACACTTGCGGCTCTTGGGTTCGTGCCTTCTACTGCTGACCCGTCGCTGTTTCTGCGCACCGACACTTCGCTGCCGCCGTTCTACATCCTCATGTACGTCGACGACTTGGTCTTTGCCACTGCTGACACTGAGGCTCTCGCCCACATGAAGTCGGAGCTGCAGAAGAGACACACGTGCACAGACCTGGGTGAACTGACAAGCTACCTTGGCTTGCGGATCACCCGGGACAGAGCACGGCGCACCATTACCTTGACTCAGTCACACATGGTGCAGCAGGTCCTTCAGCGCTTCAACTTCACGTACTCCTCGCCCCAGTCCACTCCTCTGCCTACCGGTCACTCGCTCTCAGCTCTGCCTTCGGATGAGTCCGTAGAGCCGAGTGGCCCGTATCCAGAGCTTGTGGGCTGCCTCATGTACCTGATGACCTGCACTCGACCTGACCTTGTATACCCTCTTAGCATCCTTGCACGCTATGTCGCTCTTGGCCGTCACAGGAAGGAGCACATGGATGCAGCTAAGAGGGTGTTGCGCTACTTGTGCAGTACGTCGGGCATGGGGCTAGTGCTTGGAGGACGGGACAGAGTTGTACTCACTGGGCACTCAGACGCTTCTTGGGTTGACGACCAGGCTACTCAGCGGTCGTCACAGGATTACACCTTCAGCCTTGGCTCTGGTTCAGTTTCTTGGCGTTCTACACGCTCGTCTTCTGTTCTTAGCTCCAGTTGTGAGGCTGAGATCTACGCCACAGCCATGGCTGCACAGGAGTTACGCTGGCTGACCTACTTGCTGACCGACTTGGGAGAGCGGCCTCGTTCTCCTCCAGTACTGTACGTCGACAACAAGGCTACCATTGCCTTGTGTCAGGAGCACAGACTGGAGCACAGAACGAAGCACATCGCTCTGCGCTACTTCCTTGCTCGAGAGCTGCAGCAGCGCGGTCAGCTTCGTCTCGCTTACGTGGCCACTCGGGCCAACACTGCTGATGTGTTCACCAAGGCGCTTCAGCCTTGTGACCATCAGCGCTTCTGTACTCTTCTAGGCCTTGTGCCTACTGGGCCTCACTTGCTTACTTCTTGACTCTGTTTGTACTGTGATCTCTATATATATTCCTGCATGCTTACACTTGCTAGGTTGTGATCTCTGTACCTCTTGTTGTGTTATCAACCTGCATGTGAACTGGTCTTGTGACCACTTGCTTGTGCTCAAAATTTGAGTGGTTTCCTTGAGATCCACCCTGAGCTTGCTTTGCTTTGATTTGACTGGTCTTGTGACCATCTAGTTGTCTCCCACTTAGCCTATGGGGGTGTGTCAAACATTATATATGTTTATATTGTGTAGGCTATAGTGGGTTTAGCCTTAGGGGGTACAACATTGCTAGGGTTTCCTACTTGTATCCCCCTCTTGCCTAGTTTCATCATTCTTGTTCCCTCTTAGATTCTAACACTTTCC